TACTTGTATTTATGTGAGTTGGGGTTTCAAAATATTCTGATATAAAGACCAAGAGGAGAAATCACCTGGAAGTTGAGTATATGTGGTGTCAGGTCTCTTCAATTTATCCCAGTTTCCTGAACTCCATAGGTTAATGCAACCAAACTGTGTCCAGTAGCTATTGAGACAAATTAGAAACTCCTCTCTGGTGGTAGCTAATGTGAAACAGTTTAATGACAAGATAACACAGTCACAGTATGGAATAGAGGGAACATTTTTGCAAGAATTGTCAAGGAAAAATTCAAGACTTCAAAACAAATATGTGTACTTGGGAAGAGAAGAAGTTTGCTTTGGCCGTTTTCTGAGACCCTGGAATATGCATTCACTTTCCTCTGCATTTTTTTTTTTTTTGACTGCATCGCCTGGGATTTTAGTTTCCTGAAAGTGAAAGTGAAGTTGTGTCCGACTCTTTGCAACCCCGTGGACCCACCAGGCTCCTCCGTCCATGGGATTCTCCAGGCAGTAATACTGGAGTGGGTTGCCATTTCCTTCTCCAGGGGATCTTCCCAACCCCGGGATCGAACAGAGGTCTCCCACATTGCAGGCAGACACTGTAACCTCTGAGCCACCAGGGAAGCCCTCCAACTTACGAGAACTCAGTGTTAAATCCCCTGCTGTGAACCAGGAAGTGGGCTCTCACAGAAACTTTCAGCACCTTGATCTTTTACTTCCCAGTCTCCAGAGCTATGAGAAATACATTTCTATTTATAAGCCTCCCAGTCTATGGTATTCTGTCATGGTACGAAGACAAACGCCATCTTGAATGTTGATGGTTTCCATGTCAGAGGGAAAGAGAATCTGAGGAGTCTCAAAGCAGTGATTAAATGCTTAAGGCATGAAGGGACACATAACCTTTTTGCTCAAACTCATTGGCCACACCCAATGGTAAGAGAGCCAGGAAATAAAATCCTACCATGCACCCAGAAGGCAGAAGGCCAGAAATATTTAGTGAAGAGCATTGATTGTCTATCACTTGCTGTGTGCCGAGAGCTATTCAAAGTATACTACAGGCATTATCTCAGTTACGCTTCACAAAAATCCTGTGAAAGAGGTGTTTAATATCGCTGTCGTTCACAGTTTGTAGATGAAACAACCGAGGCACAGAGAGGTTAGGTTACCTGGTGGAAGTCATATATATAGTAAGCGGTAAAGCTCAGGATTTAAACCCAGTCATTCTGGTCCCATAATCTATGTGCTAACTACTAGACTAGACAATCTCTCTCAAGATGGGAAATTTTGAGAAGTGGTGCCATAAGTCATGGAGAGGCGCTAAAGGATTTTTTTTTTTTTTCACTTTTAATCATCATTTATTAATTTTAGACATTTTCTCTTTACTTCCTTCGGATCATGATTTAGCTTTCTTGCGTCATCGTTCCCTCCTTCCATTCTCGCTAAAGGGTTTTTAAGCAGGAGACAGTCAACCAGATTTGCCATTTGGAAAGCTCTCTCCATAGAGTCAGCCTGCTTATTTAACTTATATGCAGAGTACATCAAGCGAAATGCCAGACTGGATGAATCACAAGTTGGAATCAAGACTGCTAGGAGAAATCTCACCAACCTCAGATACGCAGATGATACCACTCTAATGGCAGAAAGTGAACAGGAAGTAAAGAGCCTCTTGAGGGTAAAAGAGGAGAGAGAAAAAGCTGGCTTAAAACTCAACATTAAAAAAACTAAGATCATGGCATTCGGTCCCATCACTTCATGGTAAATAGAAGCTGGAAAGTAGAAGCAGTAACAGATTTTCTTTTCTTGGGCTGCAGTCCATAGAGTCACAAAGAGTGGTCATGACTTAGTGACTGAACAACAACTACTCCAAAGAGTACAGTGAAGGATCAAATTAACTAAAATGCTGCTGCTAAGTCACTTCAGTCATGTCCGACTCTGTGCGACCCCATAGATGGCAGCCCACCAGGCTCCCCCATCCCTGGGACTCTCCAGGCAAGAATACTGGAGTGGGTTGACTAAAATGAGACCAAAGCAAAAAGTCTATTTGCATAGCGTTGGGATGAAGATGAGAATTTGAACTAAGGCACAGTGATCACGATTTACTGGGTAAGCCTGAGCCTTTCTTTCATCCATTTGAGACTCTGTTTCATCATTTTTTGGAAAAATTGTTATGTTAATATTATTACCTATCCTGTTGGGGCTTTCTCTGGATTATGATAGATAACATAAGCAAAAACTCTGACAGTACTAAGGCTGTGGGATCATAGAGATCTAGGTTAAAAATTCCAGCTCTACTACTCCCTAGATGAAGGAGTTTATTATTCTAAGTCTCAGTTCGCTCATTAGTAAAATAAGTGTTAAAATAAGAAAATCTAAGTAAGTTAATGGAAGAAAAATGATTACAAATGGGACATAGGTTGAGAATATTAGTTTCAGAGGAAGGCAGAATTTCTTCTAGAGAAAGAACTGAAAATTTATTTAGGAAAAATACCTTAATGAACTTATGTGTTTATGAAAGTCAAATCTCCTTAGTGGTTTAGAAGGAAAGACGTTTAGACAGAGAATCAGATTGTTTTGATTAATACAGTAGTAGAAAATTTTAGTTTTTTTCTGATGAAAGTTTTGCTTTGGGGGGAAAGTGATGAGATGGTATGGTAGTTTAGTCACTAAGTTATGTCTGACTCTTGCAACCCCATGGACTGTAGCCCACCCATGGGCTTTCCTGGGATTTCCTGGGCAAGAATATTGGAGTGGGTTGCTATTTCCTTCTCCAGGGAATCTCCCCAGCCCAGGGATTGAAACTGTGTCTCCTGGATTGCAAGTGGATTCTTTACCAATGAGCCATCAGGGAAGCAGAGATGGAGGAGAGTTTGACTAGAGATAACTCTGAAAATCTGGTCTTACCAGCTTCCCAAATCCACTCTTCCCATAGCAACCAGACTGACCTCTTAAAACCATTAATTGAATCACATTGTTCCCTCTCAACCCACCCCAGGACAGTGCCTCATACTTAGAAGTTTCTCAGTTAACAATTTATTAGGTGATTGAAAGAATGAATGAGTGAATGAAAACATTTGCCAGATGGCAGATGGGTCCCTAAAGAAAAGGACAGCCACTGAGAAATTTTGTACTTACTCCACTCTGTAGTAAGGATGGTTATAGGCAATGATGCTTAATAATCATTTTAATTAGTTATCTATTCTTGTGTTTTACTGTAATCACCCCTCCTCTCCACCTCACCTCTCCAAATAACTTTCAATAAAGATCTTCTGCACAAAACTCCACATTTTTGGAGAACTGAGGAATTAAACAAGAAAGTGTTTAAGCAAAACAATGTCCAAAGATGTCAATAATCATAAGAGGAGACCTAATGAACAGAGAAAGCCAGAATTCAGAAGGAGCAGGCATACCAAGTAAGAGGTAACCAGAATCCTCTGAAAATTTGGGGGAGGTTGTGACTGATGTTCCCTTATTCTGTGTTAGGAGGTTGTTGTTGTTATTCAGTCACTACATGGTGTCCGACTCTTTGTGACCCCATGGGCTGCAGCACACCAAGTTTCCCTTTCACCATCTCCAGGAGTTTGCTCGAACTCATGGCCAACGAGTTGGTGATGCCATTCAATCATCTCATCCTCTGTCACTCCCTTCTCCTCCTGCCCTCAATCTTACCCAGCATCAGGATCTTTTCCAATAAGTCAGCTCTTTGTATCACGTGACCAAAGTATTGGAGCTTCAGCTTCATGACATCAGTCCTTCCAATGAATACTCAGGGTTGATTTCCTTTAAGATTGACTGGTTTGACCTCCTCGCTGTTCAAGGGACTCTCAAGAGTCTTATCCAGCGCCACAGTTGGAAAGCATCAATTCTTCGGCTCTCAGCCTTTTTTATGGTCCAACTCTCACATCCATAATGACTATTGGAAAAACCATAGCTTTGGCTATACGGAACTCTGTTAAGAGGTTTAGAAGGTAGTGAAGTCTCTCAGTCGTGTCCGACTCTTTGCGACCCCATGGACTGTAGCCCACCAGGCTCCTCCATCCATGGAATTTTCTAGGCAAAAGTACTGGAGTGGGTTGCCATTTCCTTCTCCAGGGGATCGGATCTTCCCGACACAGGGATCGAACCCGGGTCTCCCGCATTGCGGGCAGACGCTTTACCGTCTGAGCCACCAAAGAAGGTAGGACCCTTCTACTTGGCTGTTGAAGGAAAGAATAAGCTTTGGAGCATTCACAACCCAAAGGTTACACAAGGATGGTAAAATTTTAACTCATAGAGAGGTTTGGGGGATTATATTGGGGTCATTCATACAAAGCGCTCAGCACAGTGCCTGGAACGTAGTAAGAGCTCAGTTATTTGTTGTTTCCCTTCACTTTCCTCCACTCCCTCCACCCGCTCTCCGCCTGCTCCATTCATTCTTTTCCAAGGACATGCAGGGGGCGTGCCCAATCCTCTCTCCGCCCCATCCAAGCCCCACCCCTCACTTCTGCCCGGATTGGTTCTTGAGAAGCGGAGCGGAGGGAAGAGCCCAGTCCGGAGCGGTGGGGGCGGGGCGCATGCGCGGGCTGGGCTGGGTGGAGGAGGAGAGGAAGAGCTGCCGGAAGTAGGCGGCCGAGGTGGTGGCAGAGCAGGCGGCAGCTGCCAGGGAAACCGAGGCGCGGGAGCCGTAGCCCGCTGACAGGCAGACCCGGGGTCGTCTCTGCGCCCGGCAAAAGCAGGAGGCCCGAGAGTCCCTGTTGCCTGGGCCGAGGGTCCCTGCCTAGTCTGGCTGCCTCGTTGGGACCCGGGCCTTTCCCTTAGCCCGCCAGGGGGCGCCGCTCTGAGGGGGCTGCAGAGTTGGGGGGCGGGCGCGGCTGACTGGAGAAGGGGCGCTGGACTGGGCAAGGGGAGAGGGCTCCCTCGTTCTCAAGAGGTGCCCTGGGCCGGGGACCGGGAGTCCTCACCTCCGGACTGAGGCAGGGGTTTCTGGGGGCTAGGAGGGCGCGTCGCCCTCTGCCCCCGCCGGCACCCTGGCTATGACGGGCAAATCGGTGAAGGACGTGGATCGGTACCAGGCGGTCCTGGCCAACCTGCTGCTGGAGGAGGATAACAAGTTTTGTGCGGACTGCCAGTCTAAAGGTAGCGCATCCTTCCCAGCGGGCGAGGGGTCCAGCCTCCGGGCGACACGGGGGAGGCGACGTGTGGGAAGGGGGGGGGTCTCTAGAGCTTAGGGGGCCCCGATCGTCTAAATGGTAACGCGTGCTACCCTTGTTGAGGAGGCTGCTAGGTGTTCTGGGGCGCCGGGATTGGTGGGAGAGATTGCGAGGGCGAGTGTGTGTGTTGAGACTGGGGTGGGGGGCGGGGCGGGGATGGTCGGGGTTGGGGGAAGTGGCATGGTGTGTGTGGGTGAGAATGTCTATATTTCAGGGCTCTGAATGAGTTCTGCGCCGACTGTCGCTGCATCTCGCAGCCTTCCACTTGCAAAGCTGGGGGGTGAACTGCAGCGGGGCGCGGAGGGGGTGGGGAGGAGAGGGAAGTGAGATGACGGGGAGGAAAACTGCTTAAATGGTTTTTAAAGGTGGTGAGCGTGGCTGCCTGCTATTTGGTTAGCAGTTCCTTCTGTCATTTTACAGCCTTGCTGAGATCTGACAGAGTGCTTAGGTGGCTTTCCTCTTCCAGGATGTGTGGAGGGGGGAACTGGCTTATGCAGTGACACAGTGCGGATTTCTAGACAGCCTAGCCCTGGCTTGTGGAGTGTGTTGGAGGCCTGATGAGTGTGTGGTGGCAGGAACTAGCAGATTATGGCTGTAGTGCAGGATCGGTTTAATCAGTGCAGAGAAGGGAACAAGGGCTGCATCGAATTTGTTACTTCCATGGTGCTCATCCTTCTGAAGGTGAAATACGATCATGGCAGAGCTGTTTAGTCTTTGTTTTCTGTGTCCTCAAAGATTCATGACTTGATACAGTTACAAATCAGTATGCTACCAAAGCTTGGTTATTAGTGAAATATTTGCACTCGAAATTGATAGATTACAAATATTTTGTTTCCTTATTTTCTTTCTGAATTCTTTGGAATATAAATTGGAGTTGGGAAAATTCCTTTTTTGGTTTGGGAGCTATTGCTAATTTACTTTTGTTCATAACGCAGTGAATTTACCTGGATTGTTTGCCATATAGCATGTTGGACATATAGTACACAACAAAGATTCGTATGTATTTGTCTTTATCAGTATTGAGAAAGGAATTACATGCTTAATTGATACTTTCACTTAGTTACCTTTTATTTTGAAGAAGTAGGATTATGTAAGGAGATGGGGAGAGAGACATTGGACATCTAGTAGTATATTTTAGTGTCCTTTACCAACGGGTAAAAGGCATGTGGCGTTAGGAAAGCAGATCCCCCGACTTCTTTCCTGAATTTTTGCATTGGCAAGAATTCATTTTAAAAAGTATTATAGAATCAGTTTATGTTGAGTAGGTTAATTTCTTATAGTTGACTCTCGTGAGATCTTCTGCTAGCTCTCTGGGAAGATTTGGCTTAAAATTTGGGAGTATATCTCTTTGACTTGACTCAAATTCCCTGTGTCCTCAGTTGACAGATCTTGAGTCACAGTGAAGCAACCCTCTGAGTGAGCACTGCTCCGTTTGGGGAGTCAGATACCATTTTGATAATCGGTACCACCCCCATCCCCCATTTCCCATACCACTCTTGTACTTACTCATATTCCAACAAAACATAGCACATGGAAGAGAGGTTGATTCATCACCTCCAAATTTTCTGTTGCTCTTTATCAACAGAATTACTGGGAATCAGGTAATAAAACCTTAGTCAGTTCATTCTTAATGAGAAATGGTAACTGCTGGCCTGTAAACTTTATTAACTGCTCTTGATAGTAGAATCCTGGGTCCTGAAATGATTTCTTTTCACGAATTAGCTTTACATTTTGGCTTGGTGGCTTCAGTGACTTGGCCATTCTATTAAAAATGAGATGACAGTATGTCAGTCAGTCATCGTTCAGTTCAGGTCAATGAGATATTTATGGCCTCAGTTTTTGCAGTTTGTGAATTAGCTAGCCCCTTCTACTCTTTGAACTCCTCCCATTCATTTTCCCTCTCCTTTTTCCTGATTGTGGTTGTCATATGGTCATGTGGACAAATGTCAGATCGTGGAAGGAAGAGACACTTGAATCTGTAGATTAAGTTATCTCTTAGCTCTGGTAAAAAACACATTTAGTGGGAGGAGGAATTTTAAAGCTGCATGCTAAAATGAGATTTGTAGTTGGGTATTTATCTGTAGGTCTCATGTCCTTTCTTATTGAGAAAATTGAGAGCTTAATTGTACAGTACCTGGTGAGTGATTGCTTACTAATCCATTAACATAAAATCAGATGATGTAACCCTGAACTGCAGACCTATGAACAGGTATTTTTGTAATGTTTCAAAATAACTCTGGCAGTAATTCTTTTTTTTGGGCAGTAATTCTTAAAAAAGAATCTTATACTGATTTAAGAATAATATTATAAGATACATAATTTGAATATCAGAATAGAGAATAAACATGTGTCCTCTTTGTGTAGTATAAGTTTTGTTGGTTCTGGGATTTTTGTTTTTGTTTTTAACTCTCTTGAGCATGAGACTCATAAGTTTCCAGTACCTCTAAGGCATTGAAATAATTTATGTGGGAATGGAGGCTACTTTGGTACTGCCTTTAAAACAAATGCTTCAACTTGCTTTAGGCTGAAAGATGTGGTTTCATCACCCAAAGCCTTAAACTTACTGTGATCTTTAGGGTAAAATTTGGGGCTGACTGAAGTTGTGGTAGAAGAGAGGACAAACATACTGAAAATTTCAGATATGTTAATGGTTAACTCCACACCTTGTTGAGGCCAGGTCCCATTTTTGGAGGTTTAGTCTGTAGCTCTGCAGTTCCATATTTTATCTGTATGCCTGGAATAACTCCTAATCAGCCTCTTCAGAGAGTGGTTTAAGCTGGACACTATCCTATTTACCATGAAAGGATCTACCTTTCTGATGACCTGCATACTTATGTCCAGTGTTGGGATGTTCCTTTCTCGGTATCAATTTTTGTGAAAAATTGAGAGCTGTTTAATGAGCAAAGAATTAGAATGGAAGAAATTTGATGGTCTTGAGGAATATTTACTTTCAACTGTGAAATACCACATAGAATTCTGGAGTCTGACAAAAACTTTGTAATACCTTGTTACTTCTGTTCTTCTAATCCCCATCTCAAAAATGATTCACTTCAAATCTCCTGGCCACTGCCTTTGTTTCAACTCCCATTACGTGTTCTTAAATTCAAATTTCCTGTTTGAAAAACCACTTTCATGTGGTTCAAAATTCAGAAAGTTCAAAAGGGAATATATTCAGTGAAAAGTTGTGTTCCTGTCCCTGACCCCTTAACCAACTTTTCCCAGTGCTTCTGGAGGTAACCCCTGCTGTTATGTGACTTTTAAGAGATGATACATACATAGACAACTTCATTTAAGTATATTCCTTTTCAGTGCTTTTATGCAAATAATAGCATGTTACCCAAAGTCCATGGCACCCTGTGTTCTTTTTCTTCTTCTTTAATATTTACTTATTTTATTTTTTTTGGCTGCATCAGGTCTTAGTTGCAGCCCACGGATCTTTCATTGTGGTGCTTGGGCTGAGTAGCTGCGGCGGGTCCAGTAGTTGGAACACACAGGTTTTAGTTGCCCTGCAGCATATGGGGTCTTTGTTCCCTGGCCAGGGATTGAACCTGCATCCCTGCACTAGCAGACAGATTTTTAATCACTGGACCACCAGGGAAGTCCCATCCTTTCACATTTTCAGTCAAGTGTATAACAAGAAGGGCATGGAGATTCCCTCTCCATGCACCGTAAGGAGTGTCCCTGTTCCCCCAGGGTATAAAGCTGAAAGATATGCATGATTTGGAAACATCTGCTCTCATTGAAGTCATCTTAGACAGTGCCCTAGCCCCCATCCATAGCACATGTAAGCTCACCTTTCAGGTGCAAAGAATCAGAGCTGTAGACTTTTAAAAATATGTATTTATTTATTTATTTTTGACCTCGTCAGGTCTTAGTTGCCCCAAGGCATGTGGGATCTTAGTTCTCCAACAAGGGGTCACACCCACATCCCCTGCATTGGAAGACAGATTCTTCCAATGGAAGGACTTCCAATGGAAGTCACTGGACCTCCAAGGAAGTCCCAGAGCTGTAGACTTTTGTTGGAAAGTGAAAGTCATGTCTGACTCTTTGTGACCCCACAGTCTATACAGTCCATGGAATTCTCCAGGCCAGAATACTGGAGTGGGTAGCCTTTCCCTTCTCCAGGGGAATCTTCCCAACCCAGGGATCAAACCTAGCTCTCCCGCATTGTAGGCAGATTCTTTACCAGCTGAGCCACAAGGGAAACACAAGAATACTGGAATGGGTAGCCTATCCCGAATCCAGGAGATCTTCCTGACCAAGGAATTGAACTGGGGTCTTCTGCATTGCAGGCAGATTCTTTATCAACTGAGCTATCAGGGAAGCCCTTTGATGTTGGAACATCCAGTTAAAGTCTATTATTCTGCTTATTTTAGCTTTGGGATCTTCAACATACCACCTGACTTTCTCAGTTTAATTTTCCTCATTTGAAAAATAAAAATGCCTTATAAACTAAAGTGTTACACACACGTAAGCACTATTTATCATTACTATTGCTGAACTCATTTATTTCATCTTAATTTTATTCATTCATTCCACTTTCAGACTTTATTCCCTTAAATACCCTAGTTACTGGAAGCCACAGTTAGAATGACTCACTGAATAACTCACTAAATAAAAAAACTCACCTAGTTTTTAAGCCAAAACCATCTCCTGTATATGGGTTTTTAGCATTTTTGCAAATGTACTTTATGTACTCTTGATGATGGTCCCTGGATGTTGCTTGACACTTAAAAGTTGTATGAAAGATTAGACCAGGATATCTTTGTGTAGACATTTTTAAAATATTAGTCCTAAAGTCTAACTCTGGTAAATTCATCTCTAGTTTTGCTTTACTTTTGTTTTCTGTCAATAGCTAAATCATTGCTTGTTGAATATCATTCCTTAGAATATGACCATTGTTATTAGTTTTTAATTATTTTGGCT